TTATGTCCCTATAGCATTCCAGCAGACATTTCTTCTTATTTATATGTCCATTTCTTCTATGTTAACCCCAGACTGGAAAAAGCTTTGCCCACCAATGATCACTTTAGTTCATCTCTGAATATGAAAGTATATGTTGCATTAGTAAGACATGTTGCATTTGTTTAACAAATAGGGGGAAGATAAATGGACATGCCACAGCAAAGACATTTTAGACAACTAAATAAATTCATTCAAGTAAATATATTCAAACATTAAGGTACGTAGGCTAGAATTGGAGAATACTCTTTCTGTATTGAGAATATACGATATGCTGCTCTGACTCACCAAAAACCCTGAATCCTCCAGGCTGTCCTACCTCCTTACCCAAGACCCTCTAATCTCACCACAATGGAGCAATTAAAGGATTAATGCCTGTAAATTCTGGCCATCTCATGAACTCTGTTGAATTTCTAGAGCTTGTAGCTCTGCTTGGGGCTACTTGTGTTAATTATAAGTTAAAATTATAAAATTGATTCTTGGAAGTCATAGTTACTTACCAGAAAGAATACCTACCAGATACGTTTGTTAGGCACGGTTCAGAGTTTCATGTCCTCTTAGATAACAAAGATGGATATTGAATGGATGGGTCTTTGCATTAATTAACAGGTAGGTTAAGAAGCACACCTATATTCATACAGATATTTTAATGAGATGATGATAAAGATAGTAGATTAGATTGATTAGAACAGAAAAAATGATATATACATACATACATACATACATACATACATTGATCGATCTACTAGTTGGCACTGGATATATCACTCTCAAATTTAGCACTGGTGTATGCCAGGTCTCTTGTCTTTGTCCAAAAATGTAGATGGTCCAGAACAAATCCATGACAAGAGCCTCATAGAGAAAGCTTAAGGAAAGTTCATAAACTAGATCTGATGATACAAATAAAATAGCAGTAAATAAAGACGAATACAAAGAAACATGGATTACACAGGATGTTTCCAAATATTTCTACTGTTATTTATTTAAGGAAGAAATAGTCTCAAAACTCTGCCAATGGATTAAGAAGTTGGGTATTGAGGTCACACTTAAAACCCTAGCAATAAACAATGAACATGAGTTGCTAGGGAAAATGTGTCTTAATATACATTAATTTAAATATCTGGATGAATTTACATGGTTACGTTTTGATTGTCTGGAAACAGTGTCATTTAGTAAGTGCTATTGAGCATTTCTCCAATGCCTCCTCTACATTTTCTTGTATTTGGTATTAGAAATTATATATATATATAAATATATATATATATATATCTGCTATGTTATTCCAATTTCTGGGTAGTGACTATATGGAATTTTTCAATTAATAAACAATACACCTTTAATAATTTGCAAATTGCAATTAATCAGCTAATACACTGCTACTGAAAGATTAAAGTTCCTTTGTGGTACATTTACTATGAAGAATTTTAACTTTTACTTTCTTTTACCCTTTAATATCCCTTACTATATCTTATAGTAGATACTTCTCAAGTTATGAAATATTAAAAAATATGTAATGTGTCATGAAAGAGGAAAAGTTAAAATAATTCAAGCTCAAAAATTGGTAAATAAAAGAAAACATAAATAGAATACAGGCTTTGTTCATACCATAAATGAAAAACAATTCGATGTCACTTAATGTTCAAAGTTCAAACCCTTTTGTAAAAGATGGCAGTTTTCCATTTAGTCTACTAAAAATACCAGAATACTTTAACATCATTTGAGCTATTTATTTGGCTACTTGACAGAAATCAGTTATCAGCTTTCAATTTAATTATGACTGAAAATGGCAAACAAATGAAGCTTTCTAAATAAAAGCAGACAAGTCCACTCTTAATGACCTTCTTTCTTGCTCTAATTTAAGATCACAACTTGGTAAAGAGAAATCTGCCTAGAGTGCGCGCACGCACACACACACACACACACACACACACACACACACACACAAAAATCAAGGGAAAAATCATGACATAGAATAGATAGAAAAAATAGGACAACTATGACTTTTCACATAAAATATGTCTTTTGCATTATTTAGATATTTCAATATCCCATTCACAGGAAATGTGGGGGCTGTGAAGCAGCCAGGAAGAATATAATAAATTTCACAGTAAACATGTGACCTCTTGTCAGTCAAATAAATCAATTGCTCCCCACTTGATAAACACAACTGAAATGTTCCGGGATCACCCCTAGCCTGATTATCTACAAAGCTGCAACACCTTTAAATTTTAAGATCAAGTTTCCACTGTCAGTACTATCTTTAATTAGCTTATATTAGTTGGGCAAAGAGGTTACATTGTGGTATCTCTACATGTGCATACAATGGATTTGATCAAATTCACCACCATTATTATTATCCTATCTATCTTTCTGCTATAAACAATCTTATGAGATTATTTTACTTTCATATAGGTATGTGAACTACTAGAAATTTATCTGCCCTTTTTCACCCCCTCTTTCATTTTCCCCACCTCACTGGTTTGCATTCCCAAAGAGTCCTCCATGCTACACTCCTGCCATTCTTTTCTTATCATCCAGATTTTGCATATAAGGGAGAATATGCAGTATTTGTCTTTCTCCATGTGTTATATGGTACTTAACATGATTATCATGGCTCCATCCTCTTTCTTGCAATGATATAATTTCATTCTTCTTTATGGATGAATAAATACTCCATTGTATACATGTACCACATATTCTTTATCCATACATCAGCTGGTAGACACACAGTAGCTATTGTGGATACTGCTGCTACTCACCTACATGTGAAGGCATCTCCACTGTACACAGACTTACATTCTTTTACGTATCTACCCAATGATGGTGCAGCAGCATCCTAGGGTAGTTCTATTATTAGTTTAACTGAGGAATTTCCATTCTGATTTCCATAGTGGTTGCACTAGTTTACAAGGGTTCCCTTTCCCCACTGCATTCTCACCAGCTTTTTGTTATTTGTGTCTTTGATGATTCTTATTCTGAGATGGAATTTCCATAAAGTTTTGTTTTTTATTTCCTTTATGGCCAGGGACAATGAGCATTTCTACATTTACTCTTCTCTGAACCTCTTCAGAATGTGGACTGTCTCATGTTCCCTTCTAATCTTCTGTGTTACTGCTCTTCTGGCAGTGTCAGACTTATGGCATTGTTTCTGAGAGAGAAGGGAAATGCATGGCCATGATAAACTTCTCTAACACACAGCTCCAATTTCTTTATCATCAAAGTTCCATCATCTGAAAACATGATGGACACAAGTATGAGTGCATAGTTCTGATCCCACTTTTAGATCAGTAGAGTCTATGATTCATCATATTTGATGTTTATGATTTTAAAAAATCTAGCCTTCCTTGAAGTTGGGCAGTGTTTCTCAGAGATGTTAGTTTCTGGAGTACTTAGTCAGATAATTGTTGAAGTGCGCATTAGCATTGAGAGCGACAGAAAAGTCAAATGTCATAGGAAGAGATTTTTAAATTACCTCATCCATCAATCTACTATGAGAGACAATAAAATTGAAATTAAAGGTCACAAGCTGCTTTAGATGCATAGACTTAGAATTAGAGAAAGTCATCAACAACTCTATTCTTATTCATTATAGTCATTTCATTTAGGAAGTCTCCAAAAGGTGAATGAAGTTTTGAGATAATAGAAAATGATTTTTGTCATCTTACCCAAAAATTGAGCTCAGGTCAAAGAAAGGGAAATTAATCATGAGTTAGTAATGGTTATCTTTGTAGGGAGTAGAAATAACTGCATAGAATTTGGGGTTCATTACATCATATATTAGAATCTGGGTGAATGATGTGTTCACATCATGTGTGTTAGAAAACTACTGATATTTCTCCAGAGTGATATCTTGGTCATGTCATATATGGGTGGGTGCACATTACTACATATTGAATACTCTTAGGAAGGTTGCTTCCTCAAATTCTTCCCATCTCCTCTTGAAAAAACAACCCTTCCTTCATCTACCTTGACTAAAAAGGAGTTCTTTCTTTTTTATCCATTGTACTTGGTCCTATTTCTGACCTATTTCTTTATCCAAAAACTAGGGGAAAATATACAATTTCATATATATGTTAAAAACAAAAGAGATTATACATATGTATATATGTATACATATATATTAATTACATAAAATACTATTTATCACCTTTAAATAAATGTCAGGTGGCAGTGGCTCACACCTGTAATCCTAGCTACTTGGAAGGCTGAGATCTGAGGATCATGGTTTGAAGCCAGCTGGGCAGAAAAGTCTCCATGAGACTGTTATCTCCAATTAACCACTCAAAAACCAGAAGTGCTACTGTGGCTCAAGTGGTAGAGTGCTAGCATTGAGCATTAAGGGGATCAGAAACAGCACCCAAGCCCTGAGTTCAAGCCCCACAAATAACAAAAAAAGTAATAGAATGTTCAAAAGCAAAAAAATAACAAAAAATAGAGCATACCACTCAGAGTGTAGTGGAAACTAAAAATATTAGTTTTTCATTCCTTAATCTATAGCACATGAATTTTGAAATTTAATTCAGTCAACAATCTTGAATGAGAAAGGTTATAATTGATAATATATGAAGCTATGTTATAAAGTGCAATGTTCTATATTCAAAGAAACTGCAGAGAAATAATGAATGTTAATATAAATGGCTCCTATAGTTTTGTACATCTTCTAACCCCAACTAGTCTACAGATCTCACCTTCATCATTTCTCTCATTTCCTTTTGCTCTAATTAATCAAAATCTTTCATTTCTGTCCAGTATGTCTTCCTGAATATGAATGAGAAATAAAATACCATTTGATGTTTGAAATTATGGGGGTAATCTCAATGACGGAAATAGATGACTTGGAAGGGAAAGAGAATGCCTGGTTAAATATATTCATGAAGGTGTCAAAGGTTTATAAAGCTAATGTCTGTGAGGGAGAAGACAGTAGGTTTTCACTGGTGAAGTGTATTCCTGCAAGGATCCACACCATGGAGAGCAAGGGGTCATCATGCAAAGGTACGTGTAACAATTGGCATTGCATAGATGATCACTCCTGGGGTTGAGGGGAAGTTGTTCTATGAAATTTTAGTTAATAACAAGAGGTATACAGGCTGAGAAGAATTTTCCAATCATTATTCTTGAAAACAATTGCACAAGAGCACAATAGACTCCACCTTGGTTCTTGACTGGAGGACCCTTCCTTCTCAAAGAGACATGCTGTGTGGAAGAAAGTGGGGGATATGGTTATAAGCTAGGGATTCTGCTAACCATCCTTCATCAACCAGGAGAGCCCCCAGAATAAGAAACAATGCTACTCAAAACACCAATGATGCTGAGATTGAGAAACTGGACCAGAATAAGACCACAAGAAATATGGGGCCAATTTATCAGCAAGAAATTAATATTTTCTGGTTGCTTGATCTCTGTGTGAATGGTATAACTAGAATCACGCTGATGAAATTTTCACCTCCGAAGCCATCCTATAGACAATGGTAGCATATGTATCTTACACTACTCTGTCAATTTGACTCTAGCCAGACGACATTTCAAAAGGCAAAAGAGGCTAAGGCTAAGTAATAGCCTTTATTTTCATAGTGACATTTATAAGAAAAATAAGTAACAACCATAAAATTTATTTTGTGAAATGGAAAACAAAAACATTTGCCTGTGTTATCCCATTTTAGACTAAGAAAATTTCACGGATGATAAATGCGCAGGTAACCATTCTCAGAGTTAGAGAATTGCTATCTAACTAAGAATTTCCAAGAACTTCTGGTCCATTTCCCCATCTGCAAAACATTTCATTTGCTTATTTAGATAAAATATCCATTCACCTACATTACTATAACTTGCACAAAACAGATCTTGTGGATTGTTATGTTTTTAAAATCCTTTAAAGTCTATAATGTGAATGATCTCACAACATTTTTTTATTTTGCAACTAAAATGTTGTGTAGTCATATTGGGCACTAAACAACTTTAACTTGATTTAAATGTTTTGAGTATTTGTGTTAGGTACTTTTTATACATAAATCTTCAACATTACTCTAGCTTTATCTTGGACATTACTAATTGCAATTATCAAAGGTTCTGTGGAACTTCATTTCTTGAGACACATGTTTTTATATCAAGAATTCTTTGGGAGTAATGTTATTGGTATTAAAAACTGATTTTAATTTGGTACTTAGACGTTGTTGCTTTCCTTTTGAGGGTGTAAATTATTGATCTATTAGTTATGTAACTGTCAATTGCTGAAAAAGCAGCTTGAAAATGAAACTACCACCAATCATTGCCAAAGATTTTTAAAATACATGTTTTATGCAGAAGGAAAAGTGGCTAAATATCAGGCTTCCTAGGGTTTTGGTTATGCAATTGAAGACAAAGTGTTGTTCTTTGAAAGAACCTCTGCAGACACAGAGTTCCCAAGGACTGATTTGGTCCCAGTTATACAGATGAGATGGAGTGTCTGATGTGACCAGGTAAAGTTCATAGTCTGATAATTGTCTTCCTCTCCTTGCTAATAATAGACAGGGAAGGAGACTGCTTGACCTCCCCAAGCCATTAGTTTCATTGGCATAATTTGATGATAATTACTAAGGTCCAGTCTAATCACATGGTCACTGTATAGCTCAAACTTAAAGAATAAATACTGAAGTTTGGGGCAGTGAGTCAAACAAATGTGATTTTTTTAAGTCAGCAAATCTAGGCTACAGCATCTCTTCTACAATAGAATGTTCTCCCTTCTCAACATTAACAATCATGTAATGATGTGTTTATTCTTAGTGGTATGAAATTAAAATAAACAGATGAACTGGATTGTCCTTGTCACCCAGCATCCAAAATGCAAACATCAAAACTCAAGTTCAAAAATTGCTATCTCTGACCTCTGAAAATCTGAAAAAAAAACTCTCTCAAGACATTAAGCCATCTGAAGCAGATGACATAAGCACCCTTGTCCCAGAATTGATTTAAGTTTCAAATGTTTGCAAAGTACAGACATTCTCCTGGGAGCAGTACTAAAATGCAGGGAGTCTCCTACTTCTCAACCTATCTATCTGTGCAAATATAATTATATATCTAAATTTGCACAGTGGAAGGTGTTGATTTTTTTCACCTACCCCAGCTATTAAGGTACCAAATTCTGCACCCAAGGGCAGCAGGAAAAAAAATAAGCTTTTCTTTGCAGAATTATTTTCAATACTCTCAGCGAAATAGATCCTCTTACAGTGGTGGGTGGGTGTTTTTAAAAATTTTTATTTCAGCAGGGTCACTCCTGCTGCTGCTGGTGTCAAACATGCTTTTGTGCAAGAATGTGGCCTCCGTGCCCGTCTGTCTCAACGGGGCTGTCAGCTGTGAGAAGTATATCAAAGACCTGTTTGACCACGCTGTCATGCAATCTCACTATTACCATGTCCTCTCTACAGAAATGTTCAAAGAGTTTGTAAGTATCTCACTACTTGCTTCTTCCCCAAACAATCCTTCATACCATCAACAGGACTGGACTGTAAGAAAACCTCAGGAACCAAATTGCAAAATAATATACTTTCAAATGTAAAAGAAAGCACCTGATAGTAAAAAAGCAGAATATGGAAAGAGGGACAGTCTCATGAAATCTCAAAGATGTTCAAAGAATGGTGGATTTTTGTATTTTACTTAATTCATTTGTCTGGTTTTTTTTTAAGTTAAATACTGGCATAAAACCTTTGTCTGTGGGGCTGAGGAGTATTGATTTCTCATTCTCACCAGCCATTCTCACTAGGCACTCTACATTTACCATAGGAGAGCTATCAAATAAAGGAGAAATCCACTTCTGTGAATTGGGTGGGTTGAATGGAATTAACCTCCAATGAAGCCATATCAGAAGGAGGCAAAAAAGCTGTTCCAGGAACCCCAAATGCTGGGGATCATTGTTCAAAGATTTTTAGTGCATAAGTTTATAATCACTGCAGAAACACTGGAATAGAATTGAAAACAGGCTCTCACTTTCTGATGAAGTTGCTTTTAAAGCTGCCATCTCAAGCCAGTTCCTGCCTATAATTCTAGCTACTCAGGAGGCTGAGATCTGAGGATCACAGTGTAAAGCCAGCCTGGGCAGGAAAGTCCATAAGACTCTTATCTCCAATTAATCACCAGAAAACCGGAAGTGGTGCTGTGGTTCAAGTGGTATAGGGCTTGCCTTGAGCTGAAGAGCTCAGGGACAGCACCCAGGCCCAGATTCAAGCCCCATAAACACCCCCCTCTCCCCTCCCACCAAACCCCCGCCATAAAAAAAAGCTACTATCAGTCAAGGATCCCACAGTACATTAGAGTTCAAGTACATCAGTGGATCTCCCAAAAATGTGGCTCCACTTTTACAAAAAAAAAATCATTAACTCCTTTTAACCTCTTATTATTTTCATTCCTCATTTTTTTTACTAGCCATCTTTTGTCTTTCAAATCTTCCTAGTTATATCCTTTGATTTTTCACAGCTTTTGCTAAGTCTTTAGTTTTAAATAATAAAATTTAGTCTCTGGAATTTTGTTTTAAGTATGTTCAATTGCTAATACTTTTTTTTTTATAAACTTGTGCTCTTTTGTTGATGACTTCTTTGGTAACAAGTGACAAAAGTGTATTCAGAATTTATGATGAGTGTGTGAAGGTATAGGTTTGTAGGTTCCCAGGCATTTGAAAGAGGAAATTATAACTCTATCGTGATTATCTCAAGTGAGTTTGGAACCAAAGAAATAAAGTTATGCAGTATGGCAATTTCTTCATCTTTTATAGGGAGACTTAATATTTTGTAGATTGGCTATTCTTAGTGTTTTTATTTTTTCCCCAAATAGAAGCTCGTTGAAGGGTGATAGGAAGGTTAGGACAATAGGGAATGGTGAAGAAGAAAGGTAGTTGGGAGGTCAGAAAAGTGGGATGAGGAAAAATAAAACGAGATCACAGAACAAATGGGGGGGCGGGGAAGTAGGCAGAAGGGTTATTTTCTCAAGTCCTTATTTTCATTTTTGTGCAGTTCTTCGGTACTTTTTTAACGGTGCGCTTATCAAATGTATTAACTTTCTTGTGATGAATTCATTTATTCAATTCCCACATGCCAATGCATTGAATTTTCTCCATCATTTCCAGGATAGACGATATACTCAGGGCCGAGAGTTGTTTACCAACACCTTCAACGGCTGCCACACTTCTTCCCTCCCGACTCCAGAAGACAAGGAGCAAGCTCAACAGACCCATGTAAGTCCTTAGCCCATGTTTGCCATCAGCACAACTGATATAGAACCCTGCCCTTGCAGTGCTGTGGCTACCAGAGACACCATAGTCAGTATAGCTATCATACATGCAGAGAAAGATGAAAAACATGTAAGCCATCACAGAAAAAATAGACTATAGATAGCTGGTATAATTATAAGAAAAATCAAACACAAAGTAAGATGCTAGCAGATCTGGCAGATGACATGCTTTTTCACGAGTTCTGTACATCTAGGATTGCAGAGAATATTCTGAAGGAAGGTTGAAGTAAATTGTGTGTACCTGATACATACGTAATATGTACGTATGAAAAGAATGCAAATGCAAATTTATCACATATTATGAATAATCATTCCACTGGCAGTATTTAACATTACTGAGCACTCTTTGCTGGAGCTCAAGACTCTCCTTGTTTTATTTCTGTTTTTCCTATAATTATTGCTTTCTTCCTGGACTCCTCTGCCTTTTCCTGTGTCATAACTGAAAGTCTCCCTAACAAAGAGGTCCTGGAAAATATTATATCACATATTTCAAAAATGTATCTCTGCCTTCTGGTTTGATAAATATGTGTGTGTATTTCTTCTCTCTGATAACAACAAAGTCTCTCCTGATTCTCTCATATAACCACTCTTAACATTACATATACAAACATATATATACGTGTATAAAATAATTTTATTAGTGGTACCACCAACAAACTCTCTCTTAGTGCATTAATAATTAAGATGATAAGAGAAAGCAAAAGTAGAGAAAAAGGACAAAGACAGCATTTGTTGTGACATACCACAGTGCAAGCATTTCACTAAGCTCTCTATGAACATTACTTTATGGACTCCTATAAAACTTCCCTAAAGTGAGGTAGTGTTAATACACTTTTTGAGATAGCAAAACTGAGGCCCAGAGTTCAGAGTAATCACAGATTTGCAAATAAGTTTGAACTGGGTTTCCCATTTCAAAGTCCTCACTTGTAGTCATTATGCCAAAGAGCTTACAGCAAATATACTGCCATTCACTACTTGGTCTGTACCTCTATAAACTCTTTTATTTTTCTCCTCTCCTTTTCCATATTTCTATTATTCCAATATCCACTGGATTCTTCTCTAACCTTTGTTTTCATTATGACTCAAGTAGCAAACAATCAATGCAACAAGTATTTTAAATCAAAGGTGTCTTTTATGTGTGATCTTAGAGAAAGCATAAATTGGAGATAGGGGTCAAAACTCCTTTGTGACCTACACTGATGCTTGTTATTAAGGACAATTCTATGTCTTTTTATTCACTTGTAGATATCAACAAAACAGATTGCTCTGCTAGATGTATGAGGCAGAGAGGCAGATAGATAGAAGCACCCTAAGGAATGTCATGTGGTCTTCATTCTCTCTGTTCCAGTAACCTAAAATTAACGTTAAAAAATATCACAGACAAGAGCTAACTTAGCAGTGTGAAGGAATCCCTGTGTGTAAATGGTTAGGGCCACTGGCCATTGACACTGCTTCAATCTCTTCTCTGAGTCCAATCTCAGCCACCTACTGAGTTCCAAACAAACTTTGTTTTCTCATCAACTAGCAAAACAATAAAATAGGAAAGAATGTACTCACTGGAAAGATGGTATCATGTCAAAGGGGAAAACCCGATTTTATCAGTTAGAGTTCTCATTTTAAAAATTAGTTATTTAAATAAGCCAGCTGTCTCTTTTTTAAAAAAATAAATTTTATTGTGAAGGTGATATACAGAGGGTTTACAGTTACATGAGTCAGGTAATGAAACATGTCCTTTTGAACAGTGTCATCCCTTCCCTCATTCTCTTCCAGTTTTCCCCTCACAGCTGCTCTCCTCCCAAAGTTGTATAGTTCATTTCAAACATAGTATCTAGTGGCTTTAACTGCTGAATTGTTTCACCCTTTGTCCCACCATTTATGTGTTTCCCCTTCCCCTCTCCAAATTAGATAAATTTATATATAAGACAAAAAGTACAGAAATCAAAAACAGCAACAGAAGTTAATAAATCAAAGAAAAAAAGAAGAAAAGGAAAGATTTTTTAAGCACCAAAAGTATAATTTAAAAAAACTCTTACTTCCATTTCTTTGAGTTCATTTTGATAAGTATGATCTTATGCACAAAGCTATTCAGCAATGACTAGGGCCACTGGCTGAGACTTTGGGATTCTAAAGTCTCCTACCAAACTCCTACCAAAAATTTTAACGTGTAAACAGGTTAAAATAAAATTAATTAATTAATTAAAATAAGAAAAAATAAAGAGCTATTCTAGTACAGCGTCCTCTCCAGGCAAAAATCATAGGTAACTAATCCTGCGGTATTTTGCTTATATTAACATAACTGTTCACTTTGGTTGCTCAGTCCGAAGACCTTCTGAACTTGATACACAGCATATTGCTCTCCTGGAATGACCCTCTGTACCACCTAGTGTCAGAGGTACGGGGGCTGCAAGAAGCCCCAGATGCAATCCTATCAAGGGCCATAGAGATTGAGGATCAAAATAGAAGACTCATAGAGGGCATGGAAAAGATAACCAGCCAGGTGAGTGCTATCCTGATGCTTTGTTGCTGTTTTATGTGTTTCTTTTTGTTTCAGTTGTTTTGATTTCTTATTAATAAGAATTAAAAAATTTTGAAATACTTCTCTTTGCAAGCACAATGGCATCCCGTGTGGTTGACTGCTATTAAATAAGGGAAGAGCTTAGTGTTCATGCTGAGAGATCCTAACATGCACGAATTTTAGCTTTCCACTTCTGTCACTGACAAGTATCGCTTTTCTTATACTGTCTACAAATCCACCAAAGGCTGGATTCTTCCTGAAGATGGGTGGTTAAATATTTCCCAGAGAAAGAAAAAACAGAAAATAATATTTACAAGACAAATGCTTTCTTCCAAGTATCCCCCAGATATACACATTGAAATTCTAGTTTGACTCTTTCTCCTTTCTACTCACCCCAGAGGATTCGAGTGGGGAGAAAAAAAAAGAGGAAATCAAAATCAGTTTGGACAGTCTCTCTTTCAGCCCCTAACAGCCACTGTCACCTGGCCACCCAGGGGAGATTGAAAAGATGAGCACATGACATCAGTGCTATTCCACAATCAGTAGATTTTCAGAGAACCACAAAAGAAGGGAGTATCTTTTCTGGAATGTTCCTTATTTCACAATTCCTAGACATTATTTCATCCTAAATTTTGTTTGGCTTTGGCTTTCAAAATCAAAACTCATGTCATTGTGTTTAATAGCCTCAAATAGTCTGTCGTACTTAGATCAAATTAGTGTTTTCAGTATGTATCTCCATTCTGATAGGATCGTTTCAACATTAGCAATGATAACAGCTAAGTAGTTTTCTGAAATTTCTCAGAAATAATGTACCATCTAAAGAAAAATGTATGGTTATAGAAATAATAACAAGCAATTTTATGCTTCTTTTTGTGTGCTAAGTACACATTATCATGTGTCATTTTTGTCATTTTCATGGGAGAAGAACACAAATCTGAGCAAAAAACACAAGTACAAAGAACATATTAACCCTGGAATATATGAAATGAACACCTTGATGTTCAAATTATTTGCTTCATTACTGGAAGCCTAGTTCTTAGTGTCACTAATATGTCCCATACTACTTCATTTTCTGTTCCTCTTAATACAACCATCCATTTAGTTATTGTTGCTTGTAACATTGCACCTTACACAGTAAATTTTCTCTTAAAGCTCCAGTACAAAAAAATAAAAAGCATTTCAGCTAGACAACACATCCACATCCACACATACACACACACTTTAAATTCTAATAGAAAATCCTGGGTATGTATGTGTATACACATTCATATTCCTAGTCTGTAAGATAAATCTCAGCAGATCAAACTCTACAATTATACCAGACTTTACCTAGTAACTCTATGAAGCAGCTGACCTCCTTACATGTACCAAGATGATTAATTATTCTCAAAGATCTCTAGAGAGTCTCGGTTACAAAGGCCAGTAGAGTATGGAATACATACATTCCCCCGCATTCGTGCTCTTCAGCGATATTTGTGTAATCATAGTCACGCCTCCAACTCTAGCACACAGCTTTCGCCACTGAGGAGGATTTCTGACAACATTCTTTTTTTTCATGGGTGCTTTGCCCAATATAGCCTACCTTATGGAACTCCAAAGACAGCAGCTGTTCTTTGCAGAAATTCCTGAGGTATCTTTCCTGGGTAGAACAAAGGACTTGTGACTACTTCAGCAGATCTCAGTCAGCCATCATCAGATCATCTGCCTCTTAAAGCACCCTACACAACCTTCATTATTTCTAAGGGTTTGGTACAAACATTATATGGATAATAGGGCCAGTTCAAAACAAGATTAAGCATAATGAACTATCAGATGACATAAGGTGCCCAGGGCACATCAGGAACACAGCTCAGTAAATGTAAAAACCTTCTCAAATAAGAGAATGGACCCTAGTTTCCTCCATTACCCCTTGATCAAACCCAGTCCATTTTCAAGTAGCAAATTCCCAGTTCCCCATGGATTCACTTCTACAAGAACATACTTCACTGGTGATCTCTTACCTAACAGAAAAACCTGTGTCCTGCTTCTGGTAGTCATCTATCAGATGACTAATAGGTTTGCGATATGTTGGCCCAGATACACCAAAGCCAAACCTTGGGCTCAAGTTTTCCCCTCCTATATTTTCTCTAAATCTTAACAATTCAGAGGAGCAAGGATAAGGAAATACTAATGATACAAATAACTATCTTTTTGATCATTAGGTTCATCCTGGAGCCAAAGAAAATCATATCTACTCTGTCTGGTCTGGACTTCCATCCCTGCAGATGGCTGATGAAGAGGCCCGCCTTTCTGCTTTCTATAACCTGCTCCGTTGCCTGCGCAGGGATTCACATAAGATTGACAATTTCCTCAAGCTCCTGAAGTGCCGAATCGCCTATAACAACAACTGCTAAGCTCACATCCACCCCTTCTATTTTGCAGATGGTTCTTAATGATCCATCCCTTGGCAAGCTTCTTTTTAGTTTTATAGCTGTTTAATGCATGCTTGGGTATCATGGGTCTCTTCTTAAAAAATAAAAATGGATTCTTTAGAAATATCAAAAATTGACAAGGCCAATTTGTTAACATTTCTTTGTTTCTTTCAATCAAGTAAATTCTAGAGAAAATGTATGACTACCAGGAAGAAGTTCCTATCAAACCTTACCATGACAAGGAACAGAAGCTAGGGTTATAAATAAAGACAACTAACCATTTATGTTAACCACAGCAAGCTAAAGTGGATCAAGTCATGAGAATCAAAAACAAACATTTAATTACTGATTATCATTCTAGCCACGGTACCAAAAAAAGATGGAATCCTCTGGTATCTTTCTGAAAGCCGGATACATTCTGAGTTAACTTTCTCAGTGACAGGCAATATAAGTACTAGTCAATAGTACTGCTCCTAAAGTAACATCAGGTTTGCTAGAAAGTCTAAAAAACAGGCCACAAATATGTAGACTTTAGGAGAAGTTCTCTACAGTTGTGTTCCAACTGAATTTCCAACTCCATTGCATTACAATGGACGTATTTCTACAATGGACATATTTCTAGTGTCTAATATTCTAGTCCTATGTTCTAGTCACTCTGGGTTTATCAAGCCCTCTTCTACCAAGTTTTAACTCTATCTCAGATACAGTTTGTATACTGTTTTCCACTGGCTTAAGGGACATAGCATGGAAAGCAAATATAATCAGTTGCTCACAATGTTTTTCCCCCTTCCTTCTTCAGTATCTCCGTTGTTTTGACTATGTCAGAATGGATTAAGAAAAATGTAAAAGTTCTAACATCATTGACCTCTTAGGTGGTACCATATACCTCTCATTGCTGCTAGGAACTCAACTTGAAGTCCCTTTGAGTGGGAGGCATCTCTTTTGTGGGGCACACTTGTGATTTTCTTCAAGATGCCCACCAGGATGATTACCTCACTATGTAGTGTCTGCATCAAGAGAAATGCCCTTGTTTGATTTTTCCATCCATCCCACTGCTCTACCATCTGTTATATTGTTTCAACCGTACACTGCTGCTGGTGTCCTCACACTGAAGGCATCTTTTTGTTTAATGGCTCAAATTCAGGTATCTACAGTTAACTCACAGTAAACTCGGAAAAGGTAGATTCTCCAAGCAGTGATAATGAATGGCAATACTACTGCATCACAGCTGAGCCCTTCTTTGAGTCTCCATAAATTCTCTTCTCTGCTACATTTAGGCATAAAATGAATCCGAAGTAGAATCTATTGCCAGACACTTAACTTCAGAATGAGGTGCCAGTCTTCCTTTCTCTATCAACAATTAACCTAGAGAAGCAGCCTGAGAGGTATTTTCAATGAGGTCATTGAATTCAAATCCCCCTGCCCCTTGCACCCAGAATGAATCATTCTGAGGAGAATTGCTTGTATCATGATGGCTCAGTTTCTTCACCTGCCATAAACAAAGTAGGATGGGGCTTATTTCACTGCCAGTTCTTAGAAGATAGTGAGATTTCTAGGATATTTTTGAAGGATGGGGCTTATTTCACTGTCAGTTCTTGGAAGAAAGTGAGATTTCTAGGCTATTTTTGAAGGATGGTTAGGATTAAGTAGGGATTTCTAGATGGTAGGAGCCATCCCATTCAAAACCATGGTAGACAAAAAATTAAAAAGAAAAACAAAACAGGAGGTGGAATGAGAGGAAAGGAAGAGGGAGAGAGTGAAGGAGAGAAGGAAGAAAAGACAAAAATAACTGAGTGAAGGACTGGTTGTAAATTGACAAAAATACTTTTATAATATATGATTGGGTGAAAACATACATCAACTTAATTATTAGACCCTAAAAGCAAATAGTATACCTGGCACTCCATACACCTCCCTTTTCTCTTTTTCTGTAGTGACATTTTTATTTATAGTCTGAATACCTTTTGCCCTTGTCAATTGAGTTGCTATTAGAGCTTTTAAGAGAAGCAAACCATGGCACCAGTAGGTTGCAATTCAAGGAAATCTCATATATAAATATATATATATATATATAATTTTTCCATACTAATAGGTATATTGTTCAGTAAAACCAGACTCTTTCTTCATAGGAAGGGCTGACTATCTGGATCCTGCTCTTGCCTCTGTTTGACCCTAACCTTCAGCATACAACAAAATACCCTGCCCCAAACCAATCTATCACCCCTCTCTTTCTCCTGAGTGGATACAAAATGTCAGCTTTCTTGCTCAGATTTCAGCCCTTTTTCTTGTGAAAGGCAGGTGTGTATGGAGAAAACTGTTTCTAAGTTCTTTATTGATGAAAATTTCTAATATTATTGAGTTTCCCACTAAACTTCTTACCTATTAATTACTAGATATTTCCAACAAAAATGGTATTTATGAGGAGTGAAGTTTAACAATAAATTACAATGCAATGGTATAAAATGTAAGGGTGCTGTTTGCTGGGCATCAGCGGCTCACACCTGTAATTCTAGCTACTTAGGCTAAGATCTGAGGACCACAGTTTGAAGCCACCATGGGCAGGAAAGTCCATGTGATTCTTATCTCCAAATAACCATCAAAGAGCCAAAAGTGGAGCTGTGGCTCAAGTAGTAGAGTGCTAGACTTGAGTAAAATACCTAAGGGATGGTGCTAAGCCTTGAATTCAAGCCTCAGTACTGGCACAGAAAGAAAAGAAAAAGCAAGCAAGCAGAAGGAAGGAAGGAAGGAAGGAAGGAAGGAAGGAAAGATGGAAGAAAGAAAGAAAGGAAGGGAAGAAAGACATCAATCCATTTGCAATGTCATGTACTTCTCTCTTAAAAGGACTTTATTTCAAGCAGAAATGTATGACTTCTAGTAAATCACCAAGTGGGTGATAGAAAGAGGCTTTTGCTTGCCAGTGACACACACACTGAGCATGTAGTTTGCAGAAAAGATTGAACAGAACCATAGGTGTTTTAGAGAGACAGCAAGGGATAGTGAAAAAGAGATATTTGATAATATAATAAGCACTCCTTTTCAGTCTACTTCCTTCTTCTATGGATTTCCACATAATATTACATTTGAGAAATGGTCCTACTAGGACAAGAATAACAGCAGTGGTTCAAAACAGAAAGAAACCAACCCCAGAAACTTACGGATTCTCAGATTAGTAAATCATATGTATTCAATTCTGGTAGGATGAAGAAAAAGGAAAAAAATCATCTTTCCTTTAGGAATTTGATTGAAGTTGTGAGAGCCGCATAAATATGCAAATTACTATAATTATGCTAGGAAAAGGTTGGTTTAGAAGCCATCACCATTAAGAACTACTAAATCTCCAAACTCATAGGTCAGCCCAGGACTCCATTACTGGACATTTCACTAATATTTAGTTAACTATCATGTACTCAGGCACTGTGCAGTTGTTTGGTTTATATTAATAACCAAAGCAGAGACCCTTTGACATCATGGAACAGCCAATTTTTCTCCATTAAACTATACAAATATGATTCTGTGTGTATGTGTATGTCTGTCCCTCCTCTCTCTCTTCTCTTCTCTTCTCTTTGCTCTCCTCTCCTCTCCTCTTTTCTCTCTCTCCCTCCCTCCCTCCCTCTCTCTCTCTCGCTTTCTCTTCAACCTCCCCTCCCAAATCCAACTTCATTTTAAGCCAGATTTCTTCTTCTGTGGCAAAATTTTATTTTTTTCTCTGAGAGTGATGTGTGTTCTTCAACCCCATCCAAACACACACACACACACACACACACACACACACACACACACACACATATGTAGAGGGAATCTTAGAACTCAACTAGATCTCTCTCCACTTTTACAGATAAATCCAAGAATGATAGTCTCTTATCTATACTCATAAAACTAGATGCTAAAAATAGAAATAAAACTTAATCTTCCTAATTTCATTCAAATGTGCAATCTAACTGACCAAAAAACTAGCAAAACTCTTTTTATTTCCAATAGCAAATAGGTACTGAGCAAGTAGCATTGCAAATCTTGCTCTTCATGTTAAATCTAGGAATCTCATTAGGCTATAAGCACATTTGATTTATGCTTTAGAGGTAAAATTGTAATACCCAAGTAAATGTCATTGTTGAGCAGCCTGAAGGTAAGAATTCAACTAGAGATACTGAATGAAAAAAAAATTAAGTCACTTTTTTTTGCCATGGTTACATGCAGCCTAGCAAATATCACCTTTTAAAAATTACAGCAGAAACTGACTAGTTTAGATATATTTTCAAAAGCATCGCTAATTTTATTCACATTTTATAGTAGTTATATTTCAGTGCTTTACTTCCAAGAAAATACTAAGATCACAGAATTTCTGTTTCATGAATAATCCCCTTCCAGGTTACATGATTACCAGCATAATTCCCTCAGTCAGGATCCTATTTCATCCACAAACTCCACCAAATACCATATCCCATGTCAATACTTCTACTTGTCTGTCCTAAATGTGTTTTCAAACTATTTTATTTGGAAACTAAAGTGTCTATGGAGACAACATTTCAGAACTATCTGCTTTCCTCTGGGCTTTGTGCCTATATATATAGGTGTCACTTATATCTGACCTTACAGGGGAAAATGTACTGTTTAATGGTAATATCTTTTTCTCTTGATCTCTATTTGTTTAACTGTGATGGAACAAAATGAGAAAATGTGAACAGTAGAGTTGGACATACTATAGAGTTCATTTTTGGGTTGGGGGGGGCTGGCAGCAGATCTACATATTCTCTTGATGGTGGCCTGTGGGACAAACTCACTGCTTCCATTTGCTTTCCACTTAGGCTAAGATTTCAAGGAGAATATTTCTCTAAAGAGACATTAAGGTTCACAAGGACCATACAGAGATTAAAGCAGAGGCCAACAGCAGGGTGACACCATGCTATTGGTATATTCATATTGGATATAATCTCATCAATTTCCAAGTCCCATATACCATCATGAAGGAGGAAGCATAGAAGTAC